TTCTCCTCTCTCTTTGTCCTGCCTATACTTCCTGCCTGGTCACTGGCCATCAGTGTTTTATTTATATAGAGTAATATCCACAGCAGCTCAATCATGTGTTCAGTGTTTTATTTGCTGGGTCTTTTTGTTATCCCTATCCTCCATTGTTTGGATGTCCTTTCTCTCTTTCAGGGCTATTCATTCTAGCACCATAGTGCATTGATTAATTTATGTTATAGTTGTTGTGCCCAGATCTCGACCCCCCGTGAGACCACCAAAGACGAGCTTACCAGAATGCAAAAGAAAGGCTTTATTGGGAAGCAATACAGGCTTAGGCATGGACCCCATCAAGACTTTCAACACAGTGGAGGCTGGAGAGCTGCCCACCCCTCTGCAAGCTCAGTTTTTAAAGGTTAAGATTCAAAGCTGCTTGCTTTGGGGAACCTACCCAGAACCTGAGTGATTACACGTAACGTCTTGTTCTCCAAAGTAACAGAAAAGTAGGAAATTCTTATGGAGTTTATGCTATATCCATGGATTTTATATTGATAGCCTCACTAATCTCCCGAAAGATGAGAAATGGGAAATACTAATTTCATTCCCATTTCAGAGATGGGTATAGTGTGATAGTGAGGCATGAAGTGATAGACACTTGCAAGTGCTACCACTTTCTGCAGAGACAAGAAAATGCATTGAGGTTGTATAGGCATCTTTAAAATGCGCGGATTCCTTGTAACTGTTGGAGAGGAGTTTAAATGGAGGCTTTTCTACCACCTCCCTTTTCTCAAATTGTTATGCCCAGGTCTCGGGGACACCCAAAAGACCATCATGTAGACCGAATCAGGCAAGTAAAAGCAAAGAGCCTTTATTATCTTCAAGCTGTGAGCTTGATCTTTCTGTCTGTCTGATGCATCAGTGAGAGCAGAGAGCCCAGGGCCCAGGCAGAGGTTGGTGTGAGGGGATTTCAAGGTTCAGGACCCTGATGGGCTGATATTTGTCTGGGTTATAGGGGATGTTTGGAATGTCAGGTATTTTCTCTTAGATGCAGACCCTACTGGGTGGCTTCAGCTCATGGTTCTTCCATTCGTCCAGGTGTTTTCTGCCAGAATCTGTGTCAGGGCCTCGAAGCCTGTCATGGCAGC